GTGCGTTCCGTTCCTTCCAATTCCTGGCATTTCGGCACCGCTCTAAACCCGCGGAGCGAGTTTCGTGACCGGCGTTAACCGTCCCCGGTTTGTGTTTTGGGGGGTTTTGTCCGTTTTCCTCTCCCAGTGGAGTTCCCAGCGGTCCTGCTCAACGCTGCGACCGGAGAGATCGAGTCCGAGTTCCACACGTATGTCCAGCCCCAGGAGCATCCTATTCTCTCGGAATTCTGCACAGAACTAACTGGCATAACACAGGTATAACTGCTGTGTAGCATTATTTTACCCCAATATGATTCAATTTACTCTTTTGTGTAAAGAGGCCTTTAAAGGGCTAAAAAGAAATAAACTTCACATTGATTTTGTGGCATACTAACACATACATACTTATTATTCTGTTTCATAAAGAATCAAGTTGATGAAGGGGTCCCTCTAAATATTTGTTTATCACTGTTTCTGAAATGGATTCGAAAGATACAAAAGGAGAAGAAAATTGTATTCAACACAGATATGCCAAGCAATTCAACGTCAGAAGCAAAAGCATGTACCTTTGTTACTTGGACAGGTAGATAAAATTTTCATTTCTTTTTTCTGCAGAGAAATACACATAAAAAATTAACATTTGGTGGTGCTAGTGAGATTCCTTCTTCACTTCTAGGGAACCAAAACCCTGTTACTCACTACTAAAGATATGCATTATTGGGATAAGACTGAAGATAGGAAATCCATTGAATCCTGATGTGTTCACTGCATCTTTGTCTCCCCTGTCTGACAGTTACATTTTTCCGCATTGCAAGAACCGTGTCACTATTCTTAATGTGTCTCAGTGATTTAAAGAGGTCTTTGAGCTCTTTACCCCTCTGAAGTCGTTCTTTACTAACAACAGGCACTCCCTTACCCTGATGTCCCAGTGCAGCAACCCCGCTGCTTCCTGTCCAGCGGTACAGGATGCTACTAGTATGTAGATTTTGTGTCCCTTTACGTAGATTTTAAGTCATATAGATTTTAGAACAGTTCTTTACTGATGGATTATTTGTGCTGGTTTTTTGGTTTTTTTCCTGTGCAGACTGGGACCTGGGTGTGTGTTTGCACTACGAGTGTAAGAGGAAGCAGCTGCGAAAACCTGACATTTTAAATTCCTGGATTGACCTCAAAGCAACATACAGGGTGAGAAGATCGATAGACTGGAATATTTATACGCTTATTATCATCTCAAAGGCAGTTGTATCTGAGGCTACAAGCCAATACTGTATATTCCAGTGATTAGAGTAACCCACTTGTTTTCTTTCCTGTCACTCAGTAACAAACTGCACGCCCTAGAACTGTGTGAATTGTAACAAAAATCTTGATGCTAGGAGAACAACCTGCTGTTATTGTTAGATAAACGAATTATAATCCCAGGAGAATTTTTTGAGCTGCTCTTCCTTTCCTGAGATCTTTTGCTCTGCTCGCTTCCTAACTTCCCTTGTTTTGTGTGCTTTTATTGCTGCTTTGCTTTGTTGTATGGAAAATAATCATCATCTCTTCAGAGGTACTTAAAGGTCTAGCAATGTGAACTGCGCATGGACCAGAAAATATATTCAGAATAAGATGAATCATACTGAAAAAACTGATGTAATTTTATTATTATATGGTCTGCACTGCTACCGAGTTCTAACCTGGGGGGCTAAGAGCACCTTTCCCTTCTAGTCAAAGGAAGTTTCAGAGGGTGATTGAGGAGTCCACCTGTCCTGACGCCTGGAGTTTAGGCTCTCAGCCTAGGTAGCAGAATTAGGTCTCTAAAGATAAAGAGTTTGACTATTCCCCCCTTTCCCGTGATCAAATGAGATACTGGGAGTGAGTAGCAATACTCGCTTGTCCTCATTTAAAAAGAATTTGCACCTACACCAACATTGTCTTTGCAATTTGCAACAGTTTAAACATCTCAAGATACTGTTCATAGTTGCGTTCTTCAATCCTGCTCTGTTAAGGCCTTCATCAATGTACGCCATGAACTGCAAATGACTGACTCCAGAGCTAGGACAGAAGGGAGTAGGGACTGAGAGAAGGGATTCATGGTTCTTTCCATTCCCATTTGTTACAGGATAAGTCACTTACAGTCTTATGCTTATTTATCCTGACTGTAATATGAAGACACCTCACTTACACAATTGCCTGGTGAGATTCATTATTCATAAGGTGATATTTCTGAAATGGTTTTTACTTCGCTACAAAGAGGTTTTGAAATGTTTTATGTTAAGCACCTATTTTTTTTTTCTTAGGTCTTCTATAATAGGAAGCCTAAAGGGCTAAATGGTGCTTTGCAGGATTTGGGGATAGCTTTTGAGGGACGTGAACATTCTGGTAAGTATGATATGATAATCCTCATTTTAGTATATATATATATATAGAATAAAGCTAAATAACTACTATGTAGCTTTAGTTAGCTAAACTAAAGCAGCTAGTAACAGCTAGTCATTGCTTGAAACAGTAACTTTTGCTTCACAGTTATGCAATATTCTGTGTAATAAAAACATCAAAACAAGAAAGGTTAGATGCTTCAGAGTTTGTTATTTCTAGCCTCCTGGTTTATTTTTGAAATTCCTCAGAAATATTGAGTGCATATTCAACATCAATTTCTGAGTTGCCAGAGTGCAAAATTAAAGAGACAGAGGAAGGATAAGGAAACTTCACTTTACCCAATAGCTCTGGACAGTGTGTTAGTGTAAGAGAATACCAGCATGATTTTTTTTTTTTACATGATTAATAAAAGATAGAAAGGATTTTTAAAATTGTGGATATATATTCAGCTTTATGGCTTGGTCCTTCAGATGTTTCAACACAGGGAGTTTTTTCACTTCCGCTTCCCTTTTTTTAACCAGGTAACTGTGTGCCAGAGTTCTATGAATCCCTGTCACTTGTGTAACGTTTACCTTGATTACATTTTTCCTTTAAAAAGAACTATCCTCAGTAGTAGTTTAAAAAGAAGACATTAATACAACCATACTTTTGAAGGGCTGGATGATTCTCGAAATACTGCCCGGCTTGCTTGGAGGCTGATCTGTGATGGATGTGTGCTGAGGGTTACTAAATCTTTGGATAAGGTCAGTAACTACTTCCCAAGTTCCTTTCCAATTGCTTTGTAGCCTGGAATACAGGTGAAAGGTGAGCTATTCAAATAGCAAACCAAGCATCTTGATTATGAGTTGAACAGAACATCCCTAGGCTGGTACACTTATTAATTTTGTGCATTGGTTCTGGATATTCGCTTTCCAAAATCTTTTTTGTACGGACTCCCTAGGCACATCCAAAGAATGATTTTGTTTCCAGAACACTGAGCTATTCAAATAGCAGACCAAGCATCTTGATTATGAGTTGAACAGAACATCCCTAGGCTGGTACACTTATTAATTTTGTGCATTGGTTCTGGATATTCGCTTTCCAAAATCTTTTTTGTACGGACTCCCTAGGCACATCCAAAGAATGATTTTGTTTCCAGAACACTGACTACAGACTTCACTGACAAGACTCCACTGGGAAGTAAGAGCAGACCTGAAGCATCTAGAGATGGAACTTACGAAACAAACTCTCTGGCTGAGAAGAAACAGAACTGTATTGCTGGAATTAAGATAAATCCTAATGTACAAACTGAAGAACAACAGACCACTTGCACTGATCACTCTGCAGGTGTATGCACTGTACCAAACAGCAGCTCCAGGACTGAGTTACGTGCTCAATCCCAAAGCTCTTCAACAGCATCTACTAACAGATTTTCTGTTCCTCTTGAGCAGCCACAGCAATCTCCTGGTACTCTGTTAACAGGCTTTCGGCAAGCGTTGACCAACAGGCCAGCTCTGAGTACAGCCAGGCACTGCCCTCCGGGACATGGATCCGAGCTGGTGCTCGTCTCAACAACCATCTCCTCAGTTAACGTCTCCAGTGAGGATGTCAGTACGAGTTCTGATTGCTTATCTCTGCTGACTGACTGGGAGGATGTCGCTTTAATACCAGAATCTCAATACGAACAAAATTCAGACTGTGTTCAACTCAAAGATGACTTGAGTACAGATTTTTTAACAGTGCTTGAAGAGAAAACAATTTCGAAACAACTGCCTGCGCTGAGTTCAGATAATCAAAGTTTGGAGAAAACTGTAGTACCCGTGAAGCCTCTGAAATCTATCGTTTACAAAAGTCCTGATACTACTATCTATAACGTAGGAACAGGACAAAGACAGACTACAAATTTTTCAGCTTTCAAGTTGCCATCTGCAAAGGTAAATGCTTTTTCAGCACAATCAGCATTAAAAGGAAATTATTCTACTCCTTCAGAGGTTCCTAAAAGAAAGCCAACTAGTCCGAAACCGTGCCCACCAGCAAAAAAGCAGTCTTTTGCCATATATCAAGAGAAAGCTGCATCTTTGGAACATTCCAGACCTTCAAGAACTTCAACTTTGCCCAGAGTGTCTCCTGCCATTCTTAACTCCACAGTCAATTTGAATGAGTCTGTAAGAGCTGTGAAAAATGGAAAACCAACTCCCCCTCTGTGTAACTGCGGCCGAAGAGCTAAAAAACTGTACGTTTCAAATGCTGGCCCAAATCATGGCAAAGGATTTTTTTGTTGTCCTGTTGGCAAGCACGAAGGTAGTAAGAAAGGCTGTGGATACTTCAAGTGGGAACATGTGCTTCTGAAAGAGAAATCTCATGGTCTCACCCGGAATGCAGATGCTTTGACCTCTCTTGGAACTCGCATGAGTAATTCGGGAAATTCTTCCAACAAAAAATATTTGTGTCTTAGACCCTCTATGAGAACTTGAAAAACTGATGATTTTTTTTGGTGCAAATCTTAAACTTCATAAATAGATCAAATGATGACAGTCAAATGATGTCAGATATATATTCTGAGAATGGGACAAAAATTACAGTGACACCACTTGGACACTGCTCAAGCATACAAAAATAACAATATATCATGAAGTATCTCGTTAATGAAGTGTGAGAGAACAGATAAAATTAAGTGCTAAAATTACAGTACGATCAGCTGTTGTGACAAATTCTAAATTTGTCTTATCAGGTAAATTCTTTATGAGTCCAGTTCTTGAACAACATTTTAATAATACATATTTTATCTGCACTTTCTTCCTCTAAATATATTAGTAAGGATTATAAATGACTTTTTAAAATGTATTTAGAAGTCGTCGCACTTCTCTAAAGTTATTCTTGAAGCAATAATGTTCTTTTAAACTCTTACTGATTTTTTAATCCTTTAAATTAAGTAACAATAAAGATAAAATGCTAGTGACACTTTATTAAATACTTTGTTTAACACACATCACCTGTTGAGCTCCTGACTACACGATCTTCCCATTTCATTTGTATCAGTCTGCCTGCTGTTGTACTATTAGTGTAGCACCTAAGAAATCAGCTAAGAATTTGTTCAAACCTAAACTAGGAATGACAGGATAATGTCTTTTATTCTACGTTACTGGGTAAATCTGCACTATCTCACTTTCTAAAGAATCCTATGAAAAGCAACAGGTACTTCTAATCTTTTCTCCACTCCTTCTGGCGCAGTTCATTTCTTCTGATCTTCCCACTAATAGTTTTTGGCAGCTGTTGAACAAACTCCATCTATTGAGAAGGAAGGAAATAGCAATACAAAATAAGAGTTTACCTAAATTTTTACCTAACCTCAGCATCATAGTATTATAAGCCACACAATAGTTAACAACCACTGTCTTAGTGTAGTGAAAGTTACTGGGGTATTTGAGGACTCACCTTCCTAGGATATTTGTACGGAGCAGTAACTTTCTTAACATGGTCCTGTAGCTCTTTCATCATTTTTTCCGGATCGTGTGAAGCATACTCAGATGTTAAAACAACAAAGGCTTTCACTACCTAAAGAAATGAAGGCAGCAATGGTTTAAATGGCAACAAAACAACATTACACGACAGTAAGATCTGAAACTTTAACCAAACATTTGCTGACAAACTGCAGAGCAATGTAAAGGGCAGATAAAGAAAGCTTTGCCAACGCCTTTAATAAAGTCCAAAACCTGGAAGTATTTGAGTGACAGGGAAAGCTTCAAAGCTTTTGTTATACTGGATGTGGAGCAGTTGCCTCAGTCAGTGTTTTCCCATGTGGATTTTCTGGTGCCTGATAAAGTAGAAATGCCAACTTGAATTAATTTAGTTTAATTTAAAAGAGAAAAAAAATAGCCCCTGGATAGACAAATCCCTTGGAAGTTGCCAAATCTACTTAAATTTATAAGCTTAACTTGTTTACCTCTCCTCTGACGGGGTCTGGACTGCTGACAACTGCTGATTCTATCACTGCAGGATGCTCTACCAGGGCACTTTCTACTTCAAATGGTCCAATACGGTATCTTTAAAATGGAGGAAAGGGTTTTAGTTGTATTTGATAACACATAAACACAACTTCACATCTGAACATCTGTCTTATTCAAGTTTAATGAGTTGTGTTAATCAGTTTTAAATTACCCAGCAGAATTAATGACATCATCAGCTCTTCCAACAAACCAGAAGTATCCATCCTCATCCATAATCCCCCTGTCTCCAGTGACATAAAAATCCCCACGTATTGTTGCCGCCGTTTTCTCTGGATCATCCTAGGAAATATTAAATTGCATTTTACAAGAAAACTACCTTAAAAATACATGAAATTTCATTCTAAAATATTTAGCAAATAAGTTATGGTACAGTCAAATATTCAAAAATTACAGCTTTTCATACTGGTCGATATTGTGGCCATGTGCATCAGATTCATGTGACAGAGAATTATTAATTCACCATTACTAAGCTACAAAACTAGATACAAAGTTAATTTTTTTTTTTTTTCACCCCAGGAAAGTTTTGGCTCAGCATAGCGTAATTCATGAGCACTCCTACAGCAAATGCAACTGACTTCTGCAAGGATTTTTCTATGCACGGCGTCCCTTTCCCCGCATGCTCAGTACTGCTCGAAAGACCTGACTGTAGGCTGATACTATCCATTAAATTAAACAAGGTTTCCTGGTGTCAGAACTGAAAGCACTAGGCATGTCTTACTGGTTGAATATTCCAACCAATGTGGAAAAAAATGAAAGATGTTGCCATGCATGAAACATTCCAAATCTGGAGGGGGGCGCTTGAATAGTGTCCTGCTTTTCAGATAGGGGCTCTAGCCCTTAAGCCAAAGAGTATTTTGGGTTTAGGAGGTCCATCAATCATTTCCCTTTTTTATTAAGGAAATAACAATCAAAGGAAAGTGAGTTTTGACTTTCTAGGCAAGATAATCTCATCCAACACATAACTGTTTGTTTGTATAAGAAGCCCAAGTATTTGCAGGAAAAAAAAACCTGAAATCCCTCTTTCCTCCCCCTAGGTTTTCAGACCAGCAAGCAGAATATAAGTAAATGAAATTGGGCATCATATTCCTTGTGACAGAGATTTAACAGCATATCTACTTTAACTGTAGAAGTACTCTTACAGCATAGCAAGTAAAAAGAAAAAGGGATCTTGTAGGTTTTACTCTGATGGCAATATCTCCTTCTTGTCCAGGAGGCAGAATATTGCTGTTTTCATCTATAATCTAAAAATAAACAAAACACCATTTTATTATGTTGGAGCCAAATTAAAAAGCATTAAGTTAAAATCAAAGGATCTTGGTGCACATTTAAAATACATAAAGTATTTTTTTAGTTGGGAAATGATTTGGAGCAGTAGCGGGGGGTCTTGCTCTGACAACTGATTATTACTAATCCACTGTATCTGAGGAAAACCAAGTACTGTGCAAACAGGCCATGAGGTTAGGATCCTCCACGGGGCTCTTACTTACTAAAGGGGTAGGAATATTTAAGAACTGGAAGAAAGATACCAAAAAACCTTAACCCATGTTGCAAATTAATCTGGTGCTAGAATCTGCTGCAGCATTTCACCAGGTAACTGTGGCTCCCACTCTCCTTAACTCAGCCATTTAATCTCTATCATCGCCTTGAAGTTTGATACCCAGCTGTCACTTAGCAGTGGGTTGTCACCTGTGTTGGTGAGGATGATGGAACAGGGAAGTTTAATTGCTTATTCTGCACACTCAGTTTAGGGCAATAATATGCAGTTCTTTGCTCTTTCACTCACTGCTGCATGATGGTACATGGTACAACTCCACACTAGAGCTTTCAAACCTCTAATGGAAAATGATGGTGCAAGAGAGACTGAGCCACCCGAGGTCTTGTACCTTGACGTCATACTCTGGAGACGGCTTTCCCATAGAGCCAGGCTTGATTTTCATTCCCTTAAAATTTCCACAGATCAGCACCTGTAATGAGCGTTGTTGAGTTTGGTGGGGATTATTCTGGTTGGCGGTTTCTTTATTTTCAGTAAAACTGTGGTTTGTATATACAGTCTTTAGCTTAGGTTTAAAATACTCAGCTAATACTCTGTATTTCTATAAGAAATCCTAATTGTCTTCATTATAATAATACATCCAATGATTAGACTTTTAGAAATAAACTATGCCCTCAGAATCATGCCCACAGCTCCAAACATTGTTAGTAAGTGCTCTAAAGAGAGATTCTAAATGAAAATTTGGAATGCAGTAATGAGGACCATATCCCTTTTGCCTTAGTTCCCAATCCAAACCCCCCATGAATGAAAAACAGTCCCTGGATTTGGGGTGAAGCTGTTATGATTGTTTTATGACTTACAAAACCTACATTTTTCAGGTCCTCCTCATTGCAATTGACTTTTCCCCTAAGAGTCACTACTGTGAATAATCATTTCAATTACTTTTTTTGGGCCACCTGAATGGGATTTATTGCTGTATCTGTAAAACATACATTTTTACATTTGTAAAGCAGAACCTACTGTTTCTGTCTGTCCATAGCCTTCGTGAATATCCAGCCCAGTCTGTGCTTTCCATTCTTCCATTATGTCAGGGTTGATTGGCTCCCCAGCACTCACACAGTGCCGCAGACTTTTGAATGTATAGCTTAGAGGGAAAAGAGAAAACAAATAATTGGCAGTCAACTATCTGCTATGTCCCATTCACTGTATTCTTGTATTCTGGGGTCCTTTCTTCATAAACGCCAAATTTTTACTGGGTCCTGTTCATTCCATTTGAACTAAGTAGCATTAAACAAAAACAAATCTGGAAAAAATGCAAATAAAGAAAAACATGCTGGTTTAATTCTGTTTTATTTTAGAAAATCTAATGGTCAATATACTGTTTCTAACCCTAGGATCTGAACTGAGGTCTGACTGAAGAGCAACGATTTTCAACCTTAATGACAATAAAAACTCACAGAATTGCTAAATGAGGCCAAGGTCTTTCGTACATTTCACCAGGCTGTCCCCACGCACACACTTCTTGTAGTATTGGAGGAACAAATGGGAAAACAACTGGAAGTGCATGTGATTATAAAAGCACTTCTGGAGATACATTAATCATTATAGCATGAGTATCCTATTACATCCTCAGTAAACTGCTTTTGAAAGTTTTCTGCAAACTCACAGTAATTTAAGAAGTCTGAGATGGTTAAGCTATCCCTAAATGTTTATTCTGGCTTTGTTCCTAACACTTTAGATTCAAAATGTTGAGAAATACACGAGCTGTGTTTGCTGTTATGCCACTGTAAATCTGAAATAAAATCAAGGTGAGATGGTCTACTGTTTTGGTCAAACATGCCAACAGGGCTACTCTGCTTTTGTTTACCTGGACACTTTATGTTGCACAAACATTCGATAGGCAGTCGGAGGAGCACAGAAGACGGTTATGGGAAATCTTGATAGACTCTAGAGAATTTTGAGGAAAAAAAATAAA